CCACATGAATTAATAGGAGTCGGGTCCAGGGGTACCAACGACCCAACCAATCCAATTAAATCTACCCAATATATGATCCCAACCTGCTAAGTAAGGGGGTGTTTGAGAGCACGGTTTTGTTTTTGAAAACAAAAACAATTACAGCAAAATCAATAGAATTTTGCTTATATTGGCAGTCATATTTTTGTTTTCAAAAACAACACAAACCATGTTGTCAAACACCCCCTGGCTGGTCGGATTAATGGGCTACATTCTACATGGGTTGGATCAGGGGTAGGGTGTGCAAGTCAGATATCAGATTTGAAGATTTTATACTGTATTAGGTCTGGACTTTCGGGCCAAATTCATTGAAACTTCAATTAAATTCCAACGTGAGACTGTTACAAGTTGCACCCCTATTTAAGGGTTGTCAAATCACAAATTAATAGAAATGGGCCACAATCTTTGTTAGTTTAGATCCAACCCATATAGGCATAGGGGAAAGAAATCCAATTCTTAGGATCCATTTGATTTACAGGAATAGGGTCTGGACTCTGGAATCGATTTTCATTTCTGATGGAATGGCATTTTCCTGTAAGGGCATGATCATTTTCTCTCCATTGGAAATGAGAATGAATTATGGCTGATTTTAATTCGGATTCCAGTCCAAACTAAAATAGGTGGGGTAATAGATTATTCCGACTCTCATTCCCACTGTAAACCACAAAATTGGCCCGTTTGTTTTCCTTGAATTTAAAAGGATGCTGACCTTTGAACAGTATGTTTCTGCTTGTGAGTGGGGATGTAGTCACTAACAAACCAAACATTAAAGGCAACTTAAATAGTTGGGAATCGGGAGAAAGCTGGGATGGTATTGACAATGAATTAGATGCAGTCTGATTTAGATGTGTTCTGTCAAATCAGCTCCCCCCACCAAAGCCCAATGCAAGCTACCATCAAATTATGGAAGTATAGTTTCATAGGCAAACGAATGTTTTAGATTAAGAATTAGTGGAACCAAAAGAGCAGAACAACAACGAAATCTCTCTACGTGAATCCTTTCAAAGGAGATCACCAAGAATAGAAAGTCTACCAACAGTTTCATAGAGTGCTGCAGAACTTGAAACTAAAGTACAGAGAATACAATGAAAAGTTTGAAATTAACAAGCTCAGTAAAACTGAATGGAGATAAATAACGTTCTAAAAACATTAGACGCAGCTCAAAGCTTTTCCTCTAAGTTTCAATGACCCAATTTCCCAACAGGTACTAAAGACTTGCCCCATTGGCATCAAATAAAGGGTGAACCAGTTGAATATAATGAAGGGATGAGAGATCCATCCTATGGACGCCCAAAGATTGCGGAATAAGGGGCGAATTTCAAAAATTTATCTCTCCCTTCAACTGAGAATCGTATTCCCTATTTAGAAAATCATATTTTCAATGATCAATCTTGAACCATAAACTGAACCAGATCTGAACCAAAAGGAGTGGGAGAGGATTATACCTGATACGGA